AAGCTCTAACCCTGAATTTAAAATGCAGCCACAGCGCTATCAAGACAACCAAGCAGCTAACCCAGAGGAAGTAGTTAACTTGATATGACAAAATCACTGAAATATGTCATCATCAATGCTACACTGAGCACATCCTGTACCACTACTGTAACCTTCACAGCCAAAGTACATCAGAAACTATTATTAGCACACTGCCAGTAACTAAGAAAACACATTGGAGAGTATCACAACACTTTAAGTTTTATGTTTGTTTCAACATCGATCACCTTACAAGATTTATAATGTTGTCAACCGGAGATAAGAATATTGAACTCTAAAAGTTGTAAGGACTTAACTTATGAATGACATCAAAAAACATATCTATGGTTACTCATAAAATTGTTTTAATATGACAGGGGTTTCGTTAAGAGCCGGCTGTTGGCCATATGGCCTGCTACAAGCCCAAATCAGCCGTCTACTTTCAGGCCCACCCCCCTCCAACCACCAACACCAGTTTCGCTGCAGCGCTTCGCACTGCCTGTTGGCCTGTTGTTACAGGATGATGGCCTGCTATTAAATGAATTTGTGAAACCTTGAATATGCATATTTATTGAGTTATAGTTTATTTTATATCGAGTATTTAGCCATTTCTGTGGTTATATGCTGTAATTAGGTTATGACATGGACATGACATTACGTATTACCGTAAAATACATTATTTTCACTTAGAATTTATTTTTTCGTTGAAGGGATGATAAAATCCAGTGAATTTGTATTTAACATTCAACCTATCAAAACCAGTGAAAATAAACTTCATACAAAACACCCAAAAAATCTTTTTAGCAAAAATTAATTCCAGCTAAAATATTTCATAGCTTGACATATCTAAAGTTTGATTGTTAAAATTATGGTGATTGGCTAAACACCCTGTAATTTGTATTCATTTTGGTATTGATTTGATAAATCATAGTCATATGTGACAATTACAGTATATAAATCATGTGGCTGACCATGCAATAAAAATTTGCTCCATAAAGGTACAGTTACACCATGACGTTCTGGCTAGCGTTCTCTGGCGTTTGAGGAAACGTTGGTAGTCGGCCAAAGTCGCTGGGACAGCGCCAGAAGAGCGCCGTGAGAACGCTAGTGAACGCCAGTAATCGTTGCTGATCGTCAGGAATCGGCGAAGAACGCTGATCCAAAAAAAAAGTTTCGAACATGCACAAAAGTTCTCATTTGAGACCAGCGTTCTTCAACGTTTATTTTTAAACGTTGTTAAACGTTAAATAACGTTCTTCGATCGTTTTGCTAACGTTCGACGTGTTCGACAATCGTTAGTCAGTCGTTGCTCTAGTGTTGCTCTACCAATCGTTCGCTTTGCAGTGAACAACTAACTAGCGTCCTGTCAACGACCGCTGAACGTACCCCTAGCGCACATACAGCGTGCGACTAACGTCAAATTAACGACCTAATGTTAGATACACACTCAACACGCTCACTTAATGTTTAAAAGTCGTTCGTTGCACGCTAGTGACATGTTAGCACACGTCAATGATTTCCAGGGGTATCTTACTTGGTCGCTCATTACACGCTCCTCGTGCGTTAGGAACACGCTAGTCATATGTTAGGGGCACTCGTTAATCGAACGCTGGATGTGTCTACCTCGTTCCAGAACGCTCGGAAATTGGACGATTGGAACGATCAGAGAATGCTGACCAAAACGTTATGGTGTGACGGGGCTATTAGAAGCATGACTACTACAGAAGTACACATAAGCCTTTTAATACATATTGGATCATTTTAATATTACATATTTTAACCATAGACACACCTCATTTACGTAAACACATGCTACCAATAGAGAAAATTTATTCATTTATTTCTTTCATTTTAACTTTCATTAAATCAGCTCAGTTATATCACATGCTTAGTAATCATATCACCACAGTCTGATGCAAGACAGAGCACATCAAAAACCCATATTACTCTCGCAGTTTGATGTCACAAATTGAAAACCTTTTTGTCAAAACAGTGTTAGAAGCTTCAAGGTTTCCATACAGTCCACTAGCACTATGAACTACTGCAAAACCTCTGGATTTTCAGATTAATCTGAATAAAGGAGGAGGTACGATCTGCAAGTCTGTCTACAAACGTAAAATGGTAGAACTCATTTTATACTCATTTACAGTCATATAAGCACATCATTAATATTTATTATTTAGAAATTGCGAAATAAAACAAACAGCCTATAGGCTGATAGAGTTGAAATTATCATTTTTTACCCAAAACAACAAAAATATTCACTAAAACTTAAAAACTTATTGTCACAAAACTAATACATTTTACAGAGGTCCATCCCACACTGTCTACATATAAAATATCGACTGTCAACAGCGAAGCTTAAAAAACAAGAATTTTATTCAGATGAGACACATATCTATTTTCTTTTTTGCTCAAGCAACTGAATAAACAAATGTACTTTCAATGCATATATAAAAGAACTCCCTCTGTTGCTCCTGGGAACATGAAATAACTATGTGCATGAATATTGTATTTGTACCCATGATTAGTTGTCTAAATAACAGCATTTCTACAGATACAGGATTCAAATGTCTAGCAACAGCCATCACCAGGATAAAAAGCAAGGTTTCATTCTGATTATAATAAAAAAGAAGTTTTAATCTCTAAATTTGTGTTTTTGTTGAAATGATATATTTTTTTCAACTATTCAGTTCCAGGACAAATATATTTTTCAGAAAGTATGTTTCTAAACAGGAATCAGCAAAAACAATGTTATCTATAGTATAAGAGGATGTAATAATCAGAATCTTCAAGGGTCATAGGTCAAAGTTCACTTCAAAACCAGCTGCAAATTAAATTTATATACCATTCACTGACTAGAAATTGTCTGACTTTAAATATTGTAAACAATTTAAATTTTGATGTTGAAAATTGTTATGATTTGAAGCTTTTATTGTATGTGATGCATTACGGGATATAACTTTCTATTTTGTGAAAAGGGTCAAAGAATTTTTAACTTCATTTTTGTAAAATTTGCGGATTTGCAAACTTCATCTCTTACGAAATTTAAAGTAATTTATAATAAAATTTATAGATTGTTTTGTCAGGTTTTGACACTTTTTGACCTTGAAGAAACAACCTATTTCCTGTGTCTTAAACTCAGCATGGATGAATAATATTTACTGTAGATTGCATTATTATTGCTTGGAATTTATTTTCACTAGAGGATTGAGTCAGTGAATCAAATCCATCATTGTTAATGTTTATAGACAAACATACTTTTAAGAATTTTTATAAGCCATGAGGAAAAAAAAAGTATTTTCAGTGAACATAAATTTCAAATGAAAATAACAGTCTACAGTAGCGAGTGAATTTATTTTAACAACAAAAAATGTAAATAATACACTTTCTGAAAAATCTGATATCTTAGTCATTATTAAATAATTTGCGCAACAATATAGAGAATTGTTTTTACACCAATAAAACTTTAATGGTTATGGATACGATAAGATGGAGTACTTTTCCTCCAAAGTTCAAAGCTACAACCCTAACAAAAACAAATTTAAAAGTCATTTAAAACCTTGTAGCTCAAATACACTTGACATTCCATCACATTTAACATCAATCGTCTTCCAATTTTTGTGAGTTCATTCCCACTCTCTACATTCAATTATTAAGAAGTTTTATTTAGTTTACACTGAAAGGGCGTAAGTTCAATCTTTCGACAACTGGAATGGGTAATGGAATTCCAACAGCGAAACTGGACAATTCTAATAACATGGCTAACAGCATGATATTTCCCAAATTGTCAAAGCCTGGAGGCAGTGTTCAGAAACCAGGGTAATACAAACACAACCAAAGTTCTCAGACATTCATAAAGTTTAATTATTACAACTACTACCTTTATTATTATTAACACTATGGCTGTCTACTTTGGTTTAACTGCTATTTTAATGAGCAAACCGGAATAAAAAGGTTAAAGAGTCTCCAACTGTTTGTGTCTTTTCTGTAACAATGTTTGCGTGATTTGGAACAAAAAAATAACCTGCACAGACACGAAAACAGACAATAAAGGGAACACGTAATAAAACTTCAAAACAAATCAAGAAAGTCATATTGACACTGTCTAGTATGTTTAAATTCTGTGTAAAAGTTGTTTTTGTGAAGAAAAACACTTTTTCAATTAAAATGTTATTTTTTTTTTCAATATTTAAATTTTTGTTCTCTTGCGATCAGCATCTAGTCACCCTGACAACTAAGATGAAAAATATTTGATATTTCCAAGTTAAAGGAATTCTAAACAAGTACGGCAACAACAAATCTAATTTTAAGTCTGAGAAAATAAAAGAAAGTTTTTTTCAAGCACTTCTTTGAAGAATTAATGAAAGAAATTCTAAACAAAGTTCTGAAAAGTTTCTTACAAATGGAGTTATAAAAGTCACTCCAGATTAGGGGATGTTTTTGAGTTTAACATTTCATTCTGAGATGAATCCCACTGCTTTTTATATTAATGAGATCATATTGACGTCTAAGAAAATGGACGCTGTAATACATACGTCGTATATCGAGTTACATACCACGGAAAAAGATGAGACGACAGCTTCTTCATACGGAGAATCGCTGAACGACGGATTTGGCAATCGCAACAAATTTGTGAAAACCCGCGTCCATCAAATGATTTTTGTCCGACGTCTTTACAGATGTCATTTTTCTCCGCGATGTTAATAAATCGAAACGTTTTTCAACAATTTGTCATCGCGGTTTTATAAACAACAGCTGAACTAGAAGAACTCTATTCGTCTGTACGAAATTGGTAATTTGAAACAGCACAGTAAAGACATACCAAAAATTATTGAGACTGTTTTTGTTTTGTTCGTACTTCTTCATAGCAAAGAAAAAATATCGCAGCCACAGTAATAAATAACAGAATATGTGACACCCAACTAGTGAAGTTTTAACGATATAAAATAAATTAGAAGATGAAAAAGATTCAGACAAACCTGGTTAACTTCTGAACGCCATGTTACATATTTCTAACATGCAATGTGACCTTTTTCTCTTCTACGTCATTAGCATGTCACACGAACTTTCAACTTTGACCTGATATTTCCACAGGCGCCTTTCACCAAATGGACGAATTTCTTGAGGTTTTGGGTCACCCAGTCGTGTTTTGAATAGGTTTATGTATTATTTCACATTATGCAAGTATTTGTTTTTCTCAGCGACGTTCGTGGTAAACTTTGATCTCGATTTATGAGGCGAATGTATCAGGTGAGACGATCCAGTTTATACAAAAGTTTGTTTTTTCTCGATTAAGAAATATCACATTATCAATCATATTTTCTTATATTTGTGTTCAGACTATTGTGTTAGACTTGTTGTTGTTGGTATCGCTTTAACCACTGTGTATGTACTATAGATACCGACTATCTCAAAGATGTGGGGTCAGTGAATGGAGTAAAATGTTGCAGAATGTTCAATACTTTTTAGGTGGTGTAAAAATATAAGGTTATAAAATATATTTTTGCTTTTAGCGTACATTTTGTTGTAAAAGGTACAAACACACTTTATTTAATTAGTTTAATCCAATTAATAAAAGCCTGTAGTAAACAATAATAATAATGATTAATTATGCAGATTGTATGTAAATTTATTTCCCTCAATAGAAATGGTTGCCACACAGAATATGTTGTGAATTTAGTATACAAAAAGGCATTTTTTTTTTATCTGTCTAATTTCATGTGCAAATCCTAATGAGATTTAAAGTTCAGTCCACAACTGACGATTTAGCAATATTAGGGGTTGTCCCCAGGGGTCCAACTCAAAGAATGATCTGGTACGCATATTTGTGAAAGAAAACGCGTTATAGAGGGTTTTTTTTTAAAGAAAAGCATGTTTACGCGTTTAGGGTTACCATTTCAGCCAAATAGACAAAAAAGCTTTTGTCTTTTCCGGTACCGCCAACATGATAAGGGTGGATATTTTTTTAAATGAGATTATTGTTTTAAGGAATTCAAATATCGCAAAAACGAGCGTTCGGCCCCCTGGTTAACGACCCTCGATCACGGCATATGACCAACCCGTGCTTACACTAAGGGTTAGAAAGCTGAAATATCACGAGATCAGGCCCGAGCTCAAGGTGCGTGATCTTTTAGCTTTCTAACAGTGAAAAGGGTACGAAATTTTGACTTTTTAAAACGTGTTTAGGGTCATTTTGAAAACCTCTTCACAGACATGGGTTCCAGGTATTTCCACAAGTCGGACCCCCGGGGGGGTTGTTAAGATTTTTTTT